ACATTAATCCTCAACATCATGGCCAAAATTGAACCTAATGAATATGTTATAAAAATACACATAACGTTTTTGGTTTCATGTATGCCTGCAGGACAGGTCAGGCCGGAAAAAAGTGGCCTGTTGACATCTTTAGAGCAAACTAAATGTCTTCCAAAAGTAACAAATGAATCATTCAACAAAAAAAGTCTCATATACACAACTCAACCTGAAATTAGCTACATATAATATTAAAGGTTTCCCGGCTATTCTAGTTCCAATTATTTTATATCGGTGAGTAATTGTTAGGGTCTGACATCTTGATCCATATGTTGGAGGTCAGCACTCTCTTGTTTGTTTGTTTCCTCTCGTTCTTCCCCCTTTTGTTTATTGCTATGAAGTTGTTGTATCTTTTACGTAAATAAAGATAGCCCAGTGAACTCAAGACATAACAAGTGGTGGCAGCGACGTTCAAAAGAAAATGTTTTTTTTTCTATAATTAGCGCATTTGATTAAATGGTAACATCTTTTTATCAGGATTGTTTCTGTTATTAATTACCCATGTTGCGAATACCGGATCATTTTTTTCGGTAAACCGCAGTATTTATCCTTCCTGCGGCAATGGGAGCCGGTAACCGGACCGGTAAAACCGCGGTTAACCGCCGATTTTCATGCGGTTTTTATTACATGGGTGCAGTGTGAATTGAAGTTTATATCAAGGATATTGCTACATTGGATGTACACTTCCACTCGCTCACAATTAAATTTACACACACATCAGATTTCTTATTTATTATATTATTCTCCACCTCGAACACATAATAGTTTTCATCATTCAAGTAATCAAGCAGGAAATTCTCCATCTATTCAATTTACTTCACCAACAATTATGTCGACATCTCAAACGATATTAGAATTATCTGACGAACAAAAGACTGAGGATTATATATCTCCAGTCGAAAATAAATCTAATTTACAGTCATTACGAATGCAAGAAAAAATAGCTTTACAATCAATTCATAAATTAATGACTAAAGAAATGATTCAAATTGATCAATGGTTATCTGTTTTATATAAAACATTTGAAGATTTGGCATATCCACCATTACATCGTGTACTTCAAGCAACTACATATTTTAATGATGAATTACAAATGTGGTATGAAACGACCAAACATGAAATTAATAATGATTGGTCCAATTTTTGTGATCGATTAAAACAATATGCTCTTGACCGTCAGATGAATCCGTCAACATGGAATCATTCGTTATCAACCAACAATGATATCCTTTCATTCGAATATCTTATTGGTACAAAATTCATTAGATATTCTGGTATCGGTGATGCAAAAGATTGGCTATTACAAACAATGAATCAATTTAAACAATGTGGATTACGCCGACTTGAACAACTTCAAGCCATTCCATTTTTATTAGTTGATACAACGTATTTGTGGCATGTAGAAAACATTGATTTAATTGTTAGCTTTGAATTATTTAGTAAATTATTCCTTCAAAAATTTACATGCACACCATTACAACCTCAAGATATTCCTTATGGTGACACGGATAAAACTTTATCTGTTGTTACTGGCTCTTCATTCACATCGCATTTACAAAAAACAATAGCTGATGAAATTATTAAAAAACCAACATATTTTCGTGGTTCGAAAGATGATGTTCATGACTGGCTAGATAAATTAGAACAACGTTTTAAAATGGTAAAATGGTCGGATGAACAAACATTGCAATATATTTCAATATATTTGCAAGATGATGCACAGCGTTGGTGGCCACAAGCATCAAGTGTGATTAAAACATGGTCATCGTTTACTGAAGCAGTTACACATGCTTTTGGTTCAACAGAAGCACAGCAATTAGCTTTTGAACAATTGAAATGGTATAAACAAACGTTAATCAAGATATTACTCAATATTATGATACCATTATGGAATTATGTAAAAAAGTCGATGCTGCTATGCCTGATTCATTAAAGTTAAAATATTTAATGACCGTAGTATTAAAGATTCATTAAAGTTGCATGTTGCTTTGCAAGATCCAAAAGCAACTGATTTATTTTTATTGATTGCTCGAAAAGTAGAAGATGCATTATCGCTTACAAGTCCCAATAATGATATACATTCAGATCATGTTACAGTCAATGTGGTTACACATTCGAAACCATTAACACGACCATTTATTCAACAATAATCATTTAGGAAATTTCCACAAAACACGTTTCAACAGCTATCAGGTCAACAATTTCGTCCAAATTATCCGCATACTACACGAATGGAAATTTTGTTGTTATGAATGTGGTACTCCCGGTCATTATGCATGAGATTGTATCCGTACCCATTTCGAGTAATGGAAACAACGGTCGATGGTGTTGTTTCCAGTAGTTCCTATGATAATCCATCGACATAAGATACATTCCTATTATATCTTAATGTTATTGTAAATAATAAACTAATGAAGACGATGATTGATATAGGTGCAAATCGCACTTTTATTTCTATTAAAGCATTACATCTATCATATAAAAAACAATCTATTAATAAATTATCTAGTCGTGTAATTTTAGCTGATGGTTATACATCTATTTCTATTATTGGTACAGTACATTTATCTATTAACATGGATGATATGTTAACTACTATTAAAGCATTTATTGTTAAACAATTATGTGTTGATTGTATATATGTTAACAAGCATTGTATTAATTATCCAGCACGTTTAATCAAACATATTCGAATTCCCCCAAAACGAACAGTGTCAGTTCCCGTCTCTGTTGCATTATTCTCAGTTCAAGTATTATTTCGTCCCTCTTTTCAATTACAACAACGATCACCTATAATTATGCTAAATTCTTCATTAAATATTCATCGTCATACATCGTTTATTTCACTTCATAATCCAACAAATGAAGTTCATTTATTACCTAAAGGTATAATATTGGGTACAACTACTATTCCTACTTTATCTTTTAAAAAAGATCCGGAAATAGATTATTCATTAGCACAGAAAAATATATGCAATTTAATTAAACCTATTACTAATTCTGAACAACAAGACAAAGTTAAACGTATTCTTGATAAACCCGTCAAATTATTTGATACAACTAAACCTACAATTGTTATTAATGTAAAATCACATGTAATTAAAACTCTTGATTATCCACCACCATCATCCAAACCATATTATTCTACTCCAGCTAAACAAGATGCAATGTATAAGATTACTCAAGAATTACTTCAGTTTGAATTAATTCGTCCATCTTATTCTCCTTATGCAGCACCCGCATTGTTAGCAGCTAAACATGATGGTTCATGGCGAATGGTAGTTGATTATAAAAAATTAAATAATATTACCATTAAAGATAATCATCCATTGCCAAATATGGAACAAACCATTGAAGTCTTAAGCAATGGTTATCAATTCTTTTCGAAATTTGATATGAAAAGTGGATTTTGGCAGATTCCAGTTGAAGAAGAAGATCGACACAAAACCGCATTCATAACACCTGAAGGTCTTTATGAATGGAACGTTTTAGCACAAGGTTTAAAGAACAGCCCACCATCATTCCAACGTGTTATGGCAAATATATTATCTCCGTGTCATCCATTCGCATTGGTTTATATTGACGGTATTGTACGGTTTATTCTCGTTCATTTGAAGAACATCTTGAACATATTTTCGTCAAGTGTTATCAATTTTATTGCAACATAATTTCCAACTTAATCCCTCTAAGTACAGTATGTTTCGCCAACAAATTGATTATTTATCCCATACAATATCGAAACAAGGTGTTACACCTACTAATGAAAAAATTCAAGCAATTATTAAACTACGAGAAGCTTCCACATTAGCGGAAGCAAATAAGTTCCTGGGTGCCATTTCATGGTACCGTAAATTTATTCCACGATTCGCCTCTGTAGCTGCATCTATGCACAAAATCACAAATTTAAAGAAGGAAAACAGGAACAAATTTAGTTGGGAAGCACCATAACAAGAAGCATTTTCTACAATTGAAACAACTGTTGATAACTTCTCCGTTATTTTTAGATTATCCTGATGAAGACCATCAAATTATTTTGACAACAGATGCATCAAAAGTTGGTGTTGAAGGGACATAACAACAACACATTAGTGGTGAAATTAAAAATCTTTATTATCACTCTCAAATGACATAATCTAGTCAAAGAAGATATGATCCAATTGAATTAGAAGCTTTAGCAATATGGTTATGTTTTCAACGTATGCGATCTTATTTACTTGGTCGATCTATAATAATATACACAGATCATTGTCCTTTATGTAAAATGATGACTTCATCTGTGAAGAATCGTCGAGTTGATCGTATTTCAGTATTATTACAAGAATATAATATTGAAAAAAATTATTCATATTAAAGGTCAAAATAATTGTTTAGCGGATTATTTATCTCGTCATCCAATACAACCTAATGAACAAATTTTCGATGAGGATTATGATATTAGTATGTTATTTCAAGGGGAACCACCAGCAAAGGTGTCTGTTCCTGTTAACAATTCTCAATTTATTGGTGCTGTTATAACACGTTCAAAGGCAAAACAGATACAGCAATAACAAGATACAATCGATACAGCCAACACATTTATTAAAAATGAATCACCATCATCATCGTTAACCCAAGATACAGACAAGCAACAAAATGAACTTTCATCACATTTAATTTCATCTAATAAGTTTGCCATAACCAAGATTAAAGAAGAACAATTAAAATATTCATTCATTCAAAATAAAATTAAAGAAATTATGGCCGATCCAACGAAGTATCCTTATGTATTTAAAGATGGTGTATTATACAAATTAATGTCAGCAAATGCAACTAACGCCACAAAAACAAAATTGATTTATTTGCCTTCATCCATGATTAATTTTCTGCTTCAGTCGTATCATAATGATCCTCTCAGGGATCATTTTGATATTCGTCGTACTTATTTTAAAATTAAAAATAAGTTTTGATGGACATATATGAAACGACCAATTAGTCAACATATTCAATCTTGCTTACTTTGTCAACAACATAATATTAATCGTTCCAAAAAACCTGGACGACTTCAACCGATCTCAACATCAGAAGGACTATTTCAAATGATTGGTATAGATTATTGTGGTCCATTTAAACAAACCCCTAGTGGTAATCAGTACGTATTATGTATCACCGATTATTTTACTCGGTGGGTGACAGCAATTGCATTACCAGATTGCTCCGCACAGACAACAGCTCAAGCAATTTTTACAGCATATATTTGTCGATATGGTGTACCATTATCTATATTATCAGATTAAGGTAATCATTTTCGAAATCAGCTTATGGATTCTATGGCAAAATTAATTGGTTATCATCACATATTTTCGACTGTTTACCATCCGCAAACGAACGGAATAGTTGAACGTTTTAATGCAACATTTGTTCCTCAACTTGCTAAACTTTAAGATCGTGAGCATAATAATTGGGATGAATATTTATTACCCATTATATTCGCTTATAATACGGGAATACATGCAACGACTCAATATTCACCGTATCAATTACAATTCGGACGTGAACCACGTTTACCTACTGATGAACCCTCAACATCGTTCATATTTAATAAACCTATTGGTTATTATGATCAACTTAAAAAAAGTTCACTGATAATCCAAAGACAAGCACATGGACATATCATTTATCGTCAACGATAATACAAAATTCATTATGATAAGCAACGTCCTGATCCTCGTTATAAAGTTAATGATTTAGTATTAATTAAGATTCATGGATTAAAAACAAAATTAGAACCAAAATATTCGATTACACCAAAACTTATTACTAAAGAACAACATCCTACGTATTAGGTCAAAGATGAACATACACAAATTGAATCTCGAGTACATGTTCATGATATTCAACCAATTATTATTTAAAAATTAGCGTGACATATTATTGTTTCGTTATTTGTTAATTAATCATTAAGTGTTAATGTTGTGTTATATTTGCGATGATTTGATGTTTGATCATCTTAGTTGTATGCGCAACGACTTAGTTGATCTAACATTGCTTCGCTATGCTGATGAATTTATTGATCTTTTAATTAGCGCGCATTAATTATCAATATATTCATTATTTGTATATGATTAGGATTAGCAATATTAATTAAAACAAATATAAACAAGTTACACACAGGAAACCTTCTTTTCAGAAGTGTTTCTGTTTTCATCGAACAATGTTATTAATGTTTTAATTTTACATCTAGTACCTCTTTTGCTAATACATTAACGATATCTATGTGCGCAATTTTGATAGGTTTATTCATCAGAACGAATGATAAATTATATGGCTTATTTGTTTACTTTATTTATGTTATTTTTTATTTTATTTATTTTATCTCAATTTGTTTAACTTTGTTTTCATTTAGCCATAATCATGTCAGATAAACCCAGGTGAACTAATCCGACATCGGATTCCATCGGATCTCTTAGGATCCAACATTCCGACAATAACCCGACGGATTCCTGGTTGAGGAATCGCTGTCGGATCCGACGGACAAAATCAATTTTCTTAATCAGGAGTGAATAAGCATCTGATGCCATAAAAATACAAGGGTTGCATGCTAGCGTCGGTTTCCGTTGAATTCCGACACAGGTTTTTCTCGGATTCCAGCGGCAGGGATCCGACTGTAAATCCGTTTCCCGGAATCCAACGGAATTTCATCGGTTTTATTAACATTTTAATGATATCGGATAGGATTCCCTCTGGGATCTTATCGGATCCTACTATCGGAATGATT